CATGTGACTTCCGCTGTCGTAACAATATGTTATACTAAGCAAAGAGAAAAATTGATTTTGCAACTGGGGTTATTTTTATTTGCAAATTGAGATGTGAACCCAGATATTTTGTCCCCTGTAATCCTAATATAAAATATTTTCTGTGACTTTCTAATGTTAAAACTATTTGAGCATATGATTAACTCTCTTCCCTTTCATCTTTTAATGTTAAGACAATGCTAATTGTAACAGCTCTTGCTGCACACATGGTATGTGCAACTTGGTAAAACTGGGTGACAGAAACCACCCTGGTGCCAGCTGGCTACCAAATTGTTACTAGATGTGGGCCCATAAAATGTTATTTGCAGTACCAATAATGCATATCTATTAATCACTTAACATTAGTAATCATTATAGAGTGTTCTTCATAAATGCTAGTTGACCTTCTTCTATGTGTTATAGGTTATTCTCAGTCAATTCTAAATCATAATCAGTGGTGTATTATGCTTTTCATCTTAAAGCAACATTTGTAATTCTTGCATAGTTTTAACACTTGTAATTACATTGTAACGCAAATAAAATCAGCATTCAATCTATGGAATACTTGAAGAGTTGGGGGTAAAGCATTATAACTCATTAATAATATTACTTTTTCAAAACAAAGTAAATTTTAGTTTATAAATTCTAAGCAAATAAAATACCTAAAGAATGTGTCAAATATGATTTTATTTTGCAGCTCACAGAATTGCTTTCATACACACTTTATTGGCACTGAGTTGTTAGTTTAGTTTTTATCTGGCTAATTGTGCATACCCATTATGCAATCAGATTGACATACATTTAATAAGTTAATTTCCAGACATATAGTTAAAAAAGTAAAGAATAGTCACAACAAAGCAAGAAAGAGAAAAAAAAAGCAACAAGATACATGTAACATGTGATATAACATGTTACATTTTATTAACTAATTTCTAAAGAAGTGTATTACTTACTTTCTGGAGTAATGAGTTATGAGTTACTTTTTCCAGTAATATGTATGTCACTGCATATTTTATCATAGACATCATGATTGTTCAGTTATATTTGCACATGATAAGCAAGTTAAGAGATTATTAGTCTAAAGTCAGGGGCTGTAAATGTATTCTATGAGTTACTCACTTTTGAGGCTTGATTATTGTTGTGTTCTTTGGTCATCTACTATTTATATTTGAAATGGTATGCCCCAACAAAATATGAGAAACAGGTGAAAGATTAATTTAGCAGTAGTTGGAAAATTTTGTATTGTCTTGATGCAAAATCAAGAAGCACTGAGTGTGAGACTACTGACAGTAATGACATGAGATTGCTGTGCTAGTGTTATTTAATAAAACTGAATTTCAGACCAGCATTGTAAGTTACAGTACCATCAATATGATGCCAAGTAGAAAGTTTGTAGTATGGCACAACCAGTATCCATGGCTAATTTACGATTGGTTCACCATGATGATGAAGTGCAAAACATATCTGTTAATAGGGTTAAAAATTCGTTCACATGAGAGTGTCTTCCTGGAAACTAGAAAATGTCAGTAATACCTTGTTTGGCTATCAATGAAAGGTCTCTGTGAGTGATTGTTATCATACGGCAGGTAGAGAATTTTCCTGCAATTATTTGTTTGGCTAAAATCTGTTTAACTCTGCTTGTAATTAGAACCAGGTAGTGTGTTAACAGTTGGAAAATCATCTTAAAACTGGCTTAGTATTCAAGTAGAGGATCACTACTAAACATAGCAGAAAATCCCTGAAAGGCATGATGTTAAGAGTTTAAAAATTATATCAAAAATGACATCACAAGTAGAGGAGCTTTATGTATCAATGTGTCATGGTTTTTTATTCATATCTATCAAAACTACCTCTTATAATAATTATTTTTCACTGTGTGTCTATATATCACAGCTTTCTATGACCACATCTGGTAAAATTAGTCTTTTCTAATAAAATTTTTAGTATTTATGAATGCATGTCAATTTCTGTTGTTCATATCTATTAAAGCTAGTCTTTCATAATTATGTTTATTTATTACAATTTTCTATCAAAATTAGCCTATAACAGTTACTATTTTTTGCTTTGTATGTATTTCTTTCATAGATCATAATTCTAAAAGGCCAGATTCTGTAATCCTCTATGAATTGTTTGATAACTATAATTTTCATAAATTCCAATCTTATATGTTTGACTTTTATATTTTTCTGGAATTTTCCTTAACTTCTTCAATATTTTTTTGCCTTTTTCCACAATTTAAAACTTTTACAATTCTACTTCAGTTTATTTATCCAATTTTTAAGTTGTCCCCTATTCAGCTCATTCTAATTTCAAGTGGAGATCACTTTAGATTAATAACTTTATAGTAATACAGGACCATTATACAAAACTGCCTCATTATTACACCATTGGTTATAATACTTTCTCAGATATAATGCTGTGGTGCCGTGGCTCCAAGATATTTAGTATCATCTGCTGCTTAGCTCATTGCTACATGGCTTCAGAGGCTAAAGCAGTTATACTCTGTCAAAAAAATAAGGGAAACAAAGGAGGAAGTCCCAAGTATGAAGCTCAGAAATGTGAATATCAAGTTCACATCTGAAATTGATATTGGAATGTTGCGAATTTAGGTAATAAAGTAATTTGGAAATATGACACGAATGTTGAAATAGCAAGAAAGTGTCACTGATATAGCATTTATAAAGGACATGTTTAAAGTCACATGGGCAGTTTTCTAGCCACTTGCATTCGTGGAAACATAGAAAACTATTGACTATCATTGGACCCAGCAGGGATTCCATCTACCCGGTCTGGTCATAAATGAGGAAATGGTTTAACTAGTTGGTTAAAATTCTCCCCCACCTATATCACTCTCAAGTGCACTTGGTTCCTGATGGTGGCATTATAATGAGGCAGTACTGTACATCTGGATTACTTTGATCATGCCTTCTTCTTTATTTTCAATATAATTTCATTATGATATGCTTTGCACCTACAAATGAGTTATCATTCATCAGCCTGGAATTTGTAGACTCTGTTTTAATATATTTCAATTAATTAGTCAAGAAACAGGTCCTCTAATCCATGAAAAATAATATAGTTATCACATTATTGTTCTTCTGTCTGTCAAAGTTGTATACACTTCATTGATAGCTTTGAGAAGTACACATCTACTGTGTGTAGAGTTTGCACTTAAAATTGCTATAAATCTATATTGAATAATAATTATTTATGTACTCTCATTAAGTCTTGCTTTTAATTTTATACTTCAACTCTTATATTTTCTCAGTACTTTTTTAATTTAAGTTTTATTATTAATACCTGCTGGTAAAAAACGGATACTTTCTCACTTAGAATTGAAGAAACATCTCATAGTTTAGGTCTAACTTTTTTATCAATTATAGACCATATTTTTTATCCAAATGTAAAGCCAAGGCTCAGAAAGGTATTGTTCATTTGAGGAATTATGATACATGTTTTTAAATTATTCCTTGCAGTTTTGGGGCCCGGTATGGCCAGGTGGTTAGGGCGCTCAACTCACAATCTGAGGGTTGCAGGTTCGAATCCCTGTCCCACCAAACATGCTCACCCTTTCAGCCGTGAGGGCATTATATATATAATGTGATGGTCAATCCCACTATTTGTTAGTAAAAGAGTAGCCCAAGAGTTGGCGGTGGGTGGTGATGACTAGCTGCCTTCCCTCTAGTCTTACACTACTAAATTAGGGATGGCAAAATTAAAAAAAAAAAAAAAACTTGCAGTTTTAAGAATTTGGAGAGGGTTAGTGTTCATTACAAATGTAGGCATTGAGTGTTAAAAAAGTATGTTGGTAAATAAGTTCTTAATAGATTAATAATTTCAATAGGTTTGTGCCTATGGCTTTAATTACAGTAAATTTTAAAAGTTTGTTAGTTGTAATCTACTCTATAATAATTTGATATATGACAGTAAGCAGCTATAAATCATTACATCTGTTTAAATAAGTTTAAGAAAAGGACATATTTACAGGTAAGATAAATAATACTTATTTAAATCTTATTTTATGTAATAACAATCTATTAATTTTTTCTAGGTTCAGAAAATTCAGAAACAAGTGCAACAACGCAATTGGAGAGAGATAACTGTTGGGTCTGTTGAAGAATTTCAAGGCCAAGAGCGTCGAGTCATCATCATATCAACTGTCCGTAGTTCTTCTGATCTTATGGCATTGGATTACGAACACCATTTGGGATTTTTGAAAAATTCTAAAGTAATTTTTATCTTTTAACATACAATTTTGATATTAAATATATTTGATGCAGTGTGGATAGACCTGTCAGAGGACGTCTTTTAATTTCTAATTCACAATGGGTCTTAATCATCTTAAGAATTCTTAGATCCTCATAAAGTTTGAATTTATCAATATTTTATTGTTTTAATGTATATCAATTATATATCTTTAATAAGTCTTTTTGAAACTGATAAATATAGCATATATATATACTAACTGGTAAATGTTCACCTTGTTGGTATCTCGGCTTTGAGATTGAACTAACTGTCATTTATAATATTTATTTTCACCTTAACTCAGGGACTCATTCTTCATGTAACATCTTTCCTTACCCGTACCTTTCATCCTTTTTTGTTGTTCATGTACCAGAGAAGTTGGTCTACCTTCAGACAGTGGTACTTTCACCATGGCTTCCATCCTTCTGTCCCAATTCTTTACCTGGTTGTTTGATCAGGGTTTGTCTGTGTCACCAGTTGCTGGCAGCTCTGTCAAACACATTGTGTTTCTCCCGATTCTGTAAAGCTTTCACGTCCACAATTATTTCCCTCCTTTTCCATTCTTTTTGTCTCATTCCTCCCCTACATCCTTTTGTTTTTCCAGACTGGGATCTCAGTGTTGTTCTTCATGCCTTGACTGGCTCACCCTTTGAACCCTTTGCTATGTGTTCCCTGTATCGTCTTTCCTTAAGACCTACTTCCTTCTCCTCCTGGCATGTGGTCATCATCATTCCAATGTTTATGCCATTAATGTTTCATGTATCCCTTACCATTCTTTTTATTTCATCCTTTATCCAGATTGGGCCTTCCTTCTTAAGACAGCTGCTGCCCATGAAGGTTGTTTCACCTTTTCTTCCATATCCTTACTGTCTATTTCCCACCTGAACTCATGGTCAGATCCTGATTGTCTTCTCTGTCCTGTGCATTCCCTGCATTGTTATGTGTCTCATGCTACCTCCTTTCAGGGCTCCCATTCCCACCTATTTATTCCCTGGAATACCCCTGTTTCCTGGAGCCTAACTCCTGTTACCCTTACTGGCTGTGTTTGGCAACTCATACGACTAGCATGTTCTGACTTGTCCATGGAAGGTCGCTGGCTGTACAATGTTTTATTGCACCAAATCCATCACTGAACTATGTCCTTAACTGCTCAAATCCATCAACCTTTGGAGGACATAAGTCAAGCAGGTATGTGGATGAATCCAAATACATTCATGGCACACTATCTGCATGATTTGGCTGTATCTTCCTCAATTGGGTATCATTTTTCACCTCTGGCGATTCTCCACATATCTGTTCACCTTTCACTGGGGTAAGTTGACCTGTAATTATTTTGTACCTTTTTCAGTTGATATACATCCTTTTTCAGGATCCCATCTATTGTCAGGTGTTGCCTTTTCGGGTATGGTGAATATTAGAACTTTACACTTATCTGTATATTTCTAAATGCTCACTGCAGAGATAGGATGTTTCTGTAAGACCACTGGACATTTTTCAGATGGTATGTATATATATATATATATATATATATATATATGTGTGTAGTACTATATACTAACTTTATATACTAATAGTTATTATAAGTAAGTA